GAAGACAGGAAGTGGGAGCGATTGTGCCTCTGAGCACTGGTCTTGGGTGTACTGAGGATCCCGAGGTGTCTGGAGATCCCTTCTAGTCAAGTGAGGCACTGAGGAGCCAGGCTCCTAGGCTGGTTCAGATATAACATACTTGATCTTCACAATAAAAGCATTGTGTAGAGTACTGTTAGAAATGGGTAAGTGGTATTTTCGAGATGTGATTGAAAAAATTTTCAGTTTGCAGTTTTAATTGGCAGGTACGTACACCATGTACCCACCACCTCATTCAGGAGGGAACACGTCCAGCCGCCTCAGCTGTCCTTTTCCTCAAGCTTTTTTCTTTTGATCTCAGTCTCTAGCTCTGGGCAGCCATTGTTTTTTGTCCCCAGAAAGTCATTTAGCCTTTTGTAGAGGCTTTGTTCATTTGCTTTACTTTGTTTTTGTTTGTGGAAACTAGGTCTCGTTATGTAGCACAGGCTGGCCGCAAACTCTGGTGGACTTCAGCCCCAGGGTCCTGAGTGCTGCAGTTACAGGCTGCACTACCACATCTGGCTTTTTCTAGCGTTCTACGCAAATCCTACGTGTGTTTCCTTTCACAGTTAACTTGTTTTGCTCTAATGTGGAGAGTTTAACCATGTTGTAGCGTATGTCAGTAATTCAGTTTTAACACTGCATAGCATTCCATTGTGTGAAGATAGTATAGTTTGTGGACATTTGTTTGTTTGCAGTTTGGGGCTGTTATAAATAAAATACCTAACAACTGTCATGCACCAGTATTTTTGTGGACAAGATGTTAGCATTTCTCTTGAGTAGAAACTCAAAGTGAAATTGCTGGATTCCATAACAGGTTATGTTACACTTTGTAGGACACGAACTCTTCCAGCATAGTTGTACCATTGTACGTTCCTGCTAGCAGTGCATAAGAGTTGTAATTACCTTGCTTATTCACCAGCACTTGGTATTGCCTGTTCTCTTAGTTGTAGTTATTCTACTGGGTATATACTGTATGTTATTATGGTTTTAATTTGGGCTTCTGTGGTATCTGTTGGTCCTATTTTGCTGTGGTTATTAGCTATTTTTACCCCTTGTTTTGTGAATTGTTTGTTGAGGTGTTCTGTCCATTTTATAATTTGCCCTTTTTATTTATTTATTTATTTATTTTAAATTTTATTTATTTATTTGTGTGTGTGTGTGTGTGTGTGTGTGTGTGTGGCCAGCTCAGCCCACCAGGGGGCGGGGCTGGCTGGCATGTGGTGCTGGGGGATTGAACCGCGGTCCCTGATGCTTTGCTAAGCTTGTTCTAAGTAGGTGCGTTAGACCACTGAGCCATCTCACCAGCCCCTTGCCCGGTGTGTGTGTGTGGCCAGCTCAGCCCACCAGGGGGCGGGGCTGGCTGGCATGTGGTGCTGGGCGATTGAACCGCGGTCCCTGATGCTTTGCTAAGCTTGTTCTAAGTAGGTGCGTTAGACCACTGAGCCATCTCACCAGCCCCTTGCCCTTTTTTATTAATGAGAGTTTTCTGCATATTCTTTATACAAAGCCCTTTTCTAAAAGTAAGATAATTTTTTTCTTCTTTTACTTCCCATTTTCTTCAGCATTGTCTCTCAAAAAAAAGACATTTTCATGTTTGATGGTGTGCAATTTACTGCTTTTTAAACTGATTTCTCCTTTCTATGTCTTATCTAAGAAATATTTTCTTAAGAATTTGTATAATTTTACAATTTACACTTGGGTCTATAATCCAGCTTTGAAGTACTTTTTATATGGTTTAAAGTAAGGGTTAGTGTTTATTTTTTCTCCCTCTGCTCCAGAACCACTCACTAGAAGTCTTTTCTTTCCTCATTGCCCCATCTTGACACCTTTGTCGGATATCCCTTGACCGTGTGCGTGCTGCCTTACTTCAGGACTCTTCTAGTTTGTCTCCTTCATACATGTGCCCTTACATCTGGGCCCCCCAGTCTTGATTATTTTAGTTTTATGTTAAATTTTAAAGTTAGGCAATAAATATTCTCTAACTTACTTCTTTTCTCTCTTTTTTTTGGCTATATATCTTAAATGCTATTTATTTATTTTTATGTATTTGGTACAGGGTCATGCTACGCAGCTCAGACTTGTAGTGATCCTCTTGTTTTCAGTCTCTCCAGTGCTAGGATTACAGGTGTGTGCCACCATGTGCTGGGCTTAGTGGCCAGCTCAGTGTGACCAGGGGCGGGGCCGGTGCAGCATACGGTACATGCAAATTTATTTATTTATTTTTATTATTTATTTATTTATTTATTTTTGATGGAACCAGGGATTGAACTCAGGCCCTTGCACTTGCCAGGCA